CCCCCCCCCTCCCCCTGCACAGGGGCACACGACTTCTACGATTGTACTGTTGCTATGATAGTACTGTCAGGGCAGACCTCTGACGACGGTGTGGGTGCAGGGGGGTGGCCGGAGGCCGAAGGCCGCCCCCTTGCACCCGCCCGTGTGTGTGTGTGTGTGTGTGTGTAGAACATCAAGTAATAGACTCATAATCGTTATATAACAAGTGGAATACACACACACACGGGCGGGTGCAAGGGGGCGGCCTTCGGCCTTCAGCCTCCGGCCACCCCCCCGCACCCACACCGTCGTCAGAGGTCTGCTCCGACAGTACTATCATAGCAACAGTACTAGGTGGGGTGAAAAGTAACCTCCTTGATCGCCAGAATGCGCTGCTACTGCAAAAAAGTTTATGGTGCCTTGTAGTCCGTTCATATTTAGGCAGATATGCCAAGTGGCAGTGCGATACTGCCCTTAGTTTTGTTTTGAGAGCTGATTGTTGTTGACGTGTTTGCCATCATGTTGAGTATGGACAAAAACGATTTTCGTTCTCTCATAAAACATTATTTTTTGAGAGGCAAAACGGCGAAGGAAACAAAAGAAAAGTTGAATAAATATTATGTGGCTAATGCTCCGTCAGATTACACCGTCAAATATTGGTTTCGAGAGTTTCGTGGTGGCCGCAACTCCACTACCGATGAAGTCCGCAGCGGCAGGCCCTCCGATGCGGTTACCGAGGAAAATGTCAAAAAAATACATGAAATGGTGTTGGCAGACCGGAAAGTGAAGGTGCGCGAGCTAGCAGATGCTACAAAGATTAGTACTGAGCGCACACGCCATATTTTGGGCGAGATTCTGCATATGAAAAAGTTATGTGCCGCTGGGTGCCGCGCATGCTCACTCCGGAACAAAAACACGAACGCGAGAGCACTTCGAAAGAGTGTTTGGACTTGCTGATGCGGAATCGGGCGGACTTTTGGCGTCGATTGGTAACTGTTGATGAAACCTGGATCCACTATTACGATACGACTCCTTTTATCTCCTTATGTAGAGCATAGGACGTCTATAGGCCTCTTCCTCTTTTGTCCGAGGCCTATATTCGTTTCTCGAATCAGATTGTTTTTCGGATTTGTGGGTGATTGATCCACAGAATCCTACCTCAGTCAGATATTAGAGACAAATATCTATAACTAATATGTATACTGATGTATAGGACCTACAGTTTAACGCCGAATCCGAACGGCGCTGATGATCATAGATCTTTTGATCACCAGGTGGAGCCATTTTTTGGCTCATTAAACGCGAAAAATCGCGTTTGGGCGCACGTGGGATTGAACTCGGGTCTACATATCGCGAGTCAATCGCATCGAGCGGTGAGCCACTCGATACCACCGGATCCACTATTACACACCAGAAAACAACAGAATGAGTGCCCGGCAATGGACTGAAGCCGGCACGAGTGCTCCGAAGCGCCCGAGGGAGGCTCGATGGGTCGGAAAGGTTATGGCGTCGGTTTTCTGGGATTGTCATGGCATACTCTTCGTGGACTACCTCGAAAAAGGAAAAACCATCAACAGCGAGTATTACTGTGCATTATTGGAGCGATTGAAGGCCGAAATCGCTGCAAAACGGCCTCACATGAAGCGAAAAAAAATTTTGTTTTTGCAAGACAATGCACCGGCGCACAAGAACATCACAACCATGGCTAAAATCAATGATTTACGGCTCCAATTGCTTCCGCATCCACCGTATTCGCCCGATTTGGCTCCCTCGGACTATTATCTCTTCCCAAACTTCAAAAGATGGCTCATTAGTAAAAAATTCAACTCACGCGAGGAAATCATCGACGCCGCGGAGGAGTATTTTGCAGACCTTCCGGAAAATTACTTTTCAGACGGGATCAAGAAGTTGGAAAATCGCTGGCATAAGTGTATCGACCTAAAAGGGGACTACATTGAATAAAATAAAAAAACATTTTTAAAAAAAAATTTTTTTCATTCCCAAGGAGGTTACTTTTCACCCCACCTAGTACAATCGTAGAAGTCGTGTGCCCCTGGGATTTACGTGCTAATATTCCACGTTTTGGTACAAGAGAGTACAATTATGAACATTACATAGCTGAATTTTTGTTCAAAAGACTGTATACTTTTGACAAACGTATTGAACGATTTTTTGAAATAATGAGTAATTTGTATCCGTTAGAATCGTAACATAATTCTCCATAGATATTCAACGTTTATTTAACATTATTGTCATTTAGTAATGTTTTTTTTATTATATACAGCAGTATAATGGTACGTTATTTTTTGAAACTTTTTTTGTTAATATCTTTTTAACGAAGGGCGAGCGACGGCTAGTTGTTAAGGCAAAGTTACTCAGGGTCATGACCTTGACAACATATGTCAAGGTCAAGAAGATCGGAGCTGTTTCCCCTATTCCGAAGATTTACCCAGTTGAATTACAATTACATGTATGTGTCACACGTACGATTGAAAAATACATGTATATGTCACACGTACGTCTGAACATACTCGTAACTGAAACGTACCCTTTTCGGGACTCGGTCTCTAGATCTCGGTATCGGCTGCACCAATTTTATTCGGACTGGTCGCAATCGAAAGATACCGATGACATTATATAATAAAAGTGTTTTTAGATTTTTGATTCTGCTTTTAAATTCTGAGTAATTTTAATCTAAAGTTTCAAGATGTGAAAACTCGAGATAAAGCTAGTGGTAGCGTCGTGAATTTGACATCGACATGAACATATACACGCATCAAGTATCATGTCATCATGTCAAACGGTTATATTTTTATTTTATGCACTTGGCGTCGCGACGCTACCGCGTCGCTTGATACATAGTTTTTAACAGATTGAAATCTTTATATTTATTTTTATTCTTAATACTTTTTCTATTGTGTGCAGAGCTTTAAAATTCAAAAGATACATATAACAAAACAAATAGAATATAATATATATTAGTTAACATATATTAGAACTTAAAACTTATTTATGAGTTTTTCCATCATATTTGTGTATGCAGTAATTGCTCGATCAGATACTGATATAATCTCTTTATGGCGTCGGTCCCTTGCTTCCTCCCTGTGCTTAGCATCTTCACGTAAAGAAGCAGACCACTCACCCAGTTCCTTCTGAACTCTGGTCTTCCTTACTTTCTTCTTTTCACATTTTTTATCAGATTCATTTTCTACGTCACTGTTTTGAGAACTAGTTGATGCTGATCGCTTTTTCAAATTAGAAGCCAGAGCCACAGGTGCGACACAAGATTTAGCTCCTAACACTTCCTCCAATTCATTAAAGAACTTACATGTCGCTGGGCTATTACCTGATTGATTGTTATGATCTTTTACCTTGACATACTTTTTGCGCAATTCTTTAAATTTGTTTTCGCATTGTATACCAGTATGCATCCATTGGCTGTTCTCGTTTTGAAGAATAATAGCAATTTTTTTCCATACATCGGAGGACTTGAATTTTCCACTTTTAAAATCATCTTTATGTTCTTTCCAAGCATAAATTAATCGTCTTGTAGCATTCTCATTCTTCCAAGATGCTGTAACATTGAATAAATAGACATAGGATATATTAATTATGGTAAATATTTAATAATTATAACATTATTAAAAGCACATCATCAAAGGAACAAATTGTGATGAAAATTTATACCATGTTGTGTTGATAACTGAGTGTTCGTAAATGCGTTATTGGAATCAAGGTTTTCGCTTTCAGGTTTGTCATGATCGTCATGATCCAAAATTATTTGTTGTAACTGAAAGAACTAAAGACTGTTCCGAAATAGGTACCGATATTATGTTTTTATCTACAAAAAGATACATTTGTAAATATTTCTAACCTAAAATATGTGTCACTTTAAAAGGTATAAGTAAACCACAAATTTATTTACTTACCTATCATGTCAAGTACTAATAAACATCCCTGAGAATCGTATATCGGCTGATTATTTTGGTTAGTACATAATTTATAATTGAAGAAATAAAGGACTCTTTTTATAAACAATAATTAATACGTTGAGAATGGCGAATAAGAGTCAATCTAAATCTGATAATATATTCTAATATTCTATATTGCGAAGAATATCACGTAATGTTTGGCGTTTCGTCCCGG